TAAAATTATATTGGAAATTGCCAGTTTTTAAAAGATTTTTTCTTGCTTATTTAACATTGTACTTTCCTTGCTTAACCCCCCAGGAAGATTATAAGTAATTGGACAAATTTTATAAAATATATAAAATATACAAGATTACAAGCAAGTATAATACTTAAGACTTTTTCGTGATGTATGCCCATCTTACTCCTACGAGTGCAATTAGGTCGAAAATCCGTGGAGCCTCCTAGTACCGTAGTACGTGGCCTTTCTTCAATCCAAACCGAACATCACTGTGGTGTCGATCTTCGCCTAGGTTTGGCAAAGAAAGGCTAGAGTGAGGCAGCCGAAATGAACGGCGGAAAAAGGAGTTGCCTCAAAGGAAGGTAGCATTGTGCACATGAGGCACATTAGACCAGGTTTTCGCCGGATGTGATACACAGAACCCCACTGCAAGGCTCTCTTGTCTTCTGATCAATTCATTTTGGCTACATGCAGTCCGGCGACCCGAGGCTAGAGAAGCCGATCTATGCCCACGAAGTGAAAGACAAGGTGCATTGTACGCCTACCTCTGGAAAGAAGCAGAATTTGGCTTTGAGAAACATAGTTCCGCAAATTAAGTTGTTTGTCTAAGCGATATATTACGTTAACTGCTACTTATTGTGGTAATTTTGCCGGTTCCAAAGTTGCTTGATCATCTAATGCTTGTTTGTCTGAGTTGGATTCAAATGATCTCCTGATTCAGTTACAAATTATTGATCTTGATATCTGATGCATGATTTGTTTCGGCCCGAGTCACAGAAATGGTATTACTATGTACCGCGCCAACACAGCCAAATTATGTCTGTCGGCCACAAGTCAGTGCTATAAAATGCACAAACGACATATGGGGTTCAACTAGCTCATCTCTTGACGTATTGGTCTTGATACGCTCGTTCAGCCACTATGTCATGTTCTGATCCTTTTTCGGGGGTCTCGCTTTATGACATCTGTTCGGACATGCGATTAATCTGGCAAGTAGCATTATTCGCAGACTGATGTTGTAAATTTTCTGGACATGTGGACTCCTTGAATTGATGGTGAAAACTGAAGCAAACAGCTTCACGCTTCTATTATTGACCTGACTCAAGGAAGATGGCTTAACATATAGAATGCCGTGATGCAATGATGAAAGAATAAAGCGGCAATGTACGTTGGAAGTCATGACGGCCGTTATGAAGGCTCTATTGATTATATTGTACATACATACTTTGTTCCACAGCACATGTCCACTGCATTGCATGTTACGAGACTTCCCAAAGACTAGATGTTCCAACTCGTCATAGAAGCCTTTTTAATTCTCACTTGTGCGAACCTTGATCCCGCTTTCCGCGCCGAGGGTTTGAAAATTTGTTTGCTTCGGCTTCCACTCTACTGTACGAAGAAAATTTAGCCACTGTTCCGTCAGAATCAGAACGAGGCTTTGACTGAACAGGTTCCAAGACCACGCCACTTGTGTTCTTCCACAATGTTCGACAAAGTTGTATGTCCTAGACGTCCGAACAGACACAATGCTAGCGTATTTATTCACCTTTACTATCCAACAAAACTAATATCTTCAAGAGACTAAGGCCTTTGTTCTACAAGGCGTGAGTATCCACCCGCAAGATTGAACGCATGATAGAACGGTGACAGTCTAGAAGCTCGGATCGTTTACTACACGTTGAAAGGCATTAATACCCGGGATGGCTTGAATACACAGACTGACTGTGAGAGGGTCATGCAAGATACTTGAGGCAGAAGCATTTGCCCTTGCAGCAGCAGTTAAATCTTATCAGTGCCAAGAGCCTAAACCTGAACAGTCTCTGAAAACGGGTCTGCATGTAAAGTCTATTAGTGAGGGAACAGGCTGAATAGGCAACATCTGGAACCCTCTCGGGTTGTGCCAGGTGGTCTCTCTCGAATAGACGCATGAAACAGGAACCGAGAAATTATCGGCTTCTGGCGAGGACCTTAAGGCGAACGAGTGCTTCGCTCGCATTTCGGTCGGTCCATACGGGAAACTAGGCCTATCAACACCACCCCATCAGTATAAGATACACGGAGTGCGTGACCATCTACAGAGATACACACTACACACTAATTAACAGATAGTCCTGTCGGCGACGCATCTCATGACCAAATCTGGGATTAGATAGCTATCACCATTATAAATGGTGAACGGGGCATTACACAGAGTCGGCATCCATGACAATATTGCCGAACAAGACCGGAAGAAGAGACATGGAATCAAAAATCAGAATGTGCCGTTGAATCATTTGTTTGTCTTCCCTGAATTGGATTGTCTATGTATCTCGACGTGACATCAAGCGCCCTTCAATATATCCATCGAGAGCGGTGCAGTTCCCGCATGATTTTCCATTGTCCCCTGTCTCTATCCACGGTACCTTTATGCCATTCGGCGTCAGCTAGCAGTATATTGTGTTGCTTCGTTGATAAACTTACACCAAGTGTATTTGTACACGTGTTATAGGCTCCTTGATGAATTCGAGAATATATAATAGGATCCGAGACAGATGGGGCTAGTTGTTGCGGGAAATCTTGTTGAGTACAAGAGTATTGTGCTTCCCTGCCACCATATAATGAGTAAAGACAATTTACTCACGACGATCAGTCCTGGAGACTTTAAAGGGTGTGATCAGACACTGTTATTCCCCAGTAGTTGCACAAAACCAAGTTGGGGTTCAACCATCTAGCACTCCAGCAGTGCTTTTCATTTCGCGTTGGAGACTATGTGGAGGGGCGTCAAGGTAATCGGGTATCATAGGGCGAACTGAAGCACGGTGGTGGTGTCCGAAAGTCCGTTTCCATTCTGCATGTGTAAGAGTTGCAAGCATCTTGGAGTAGCTCTTCTGCTATTATAGAACACCGGAAGCAAAACCAGCGACATCACTGATGCAATATTGCGAGGTTTACGGATAAATAATCCGGTATTAAATGACAGGGAAATTATCAGCAAAATCGGAATCGGACCGGTCTATGCAGTAGTTTCCGGAGATTCGTATACACCCAGAGACTTGACTCACTTCGAGGAATTGATTCAGGAGTTGATGTTTGCTCTGCAACGCAACGAGTTATTCGGCCCATTCCGAGGCACGTGCCCCTAAATTTGGGTCTTTTTTGTCGACCTCCCTCATCTACGTGCGCATCATGCTCTTATCTCTCCTCGAACGAATCTCATCTAGGGCTGAATATGGTTCTATACGCGCTTCCGGATTCGACATGCGAAACAAACAAAAATTTGCATTCATCCGTTCCTGCTTCGGCTGGACCTCACCAGAGTCCAGACAAAATGTTCATCCAGCCCAGACGCTGATATTAGGCGCTCGTCTTCTTATTCGTGGAAAGGTGGAATGGCTTGTATCATCTGTCGCAGGCGCTTCAGTGCCCAACGGAGACAACTTCGGTGATTAGGTTGCTAAAACTGCGCGCTTAGGTCTCTTGAATGCTTGGAAGCTGGCGTCTAACGAGCGCTTATCAATATCATATGCAAGTTGTGGGTCCAACCTACCTCGTAGTGCAGTGTTTATTGGGCGCTTGTTACAATAATAGCATACAACTCACTGCAGTATGCCAACTGTTCAAATGCAGCCTGCTTTCCAACCAATCTTGGCTGCTCTTTGGTTGCGAGTTTTGGTTCGAGGCGCTTGGGTCGTTTGCGGATGAACTATGCCAAAGATCCGTTAAAGAGCTGGTTTACGGGTGGTGGATAGCTATGGTCTGGTTAAATTCAATACTGTGGAAGTATTCTGCCATGCATGTGCTATGTACGTTCATATATTACTTTACGGTCGGGGGCGTCAGGCTTCTTAAAACTAACTACACATAGACCACTTGCGCGTGACGTTTTGGAGTCCTTCACAGAACAAAACCTGGGTGATATGGAACTAAGCGCTCATCCCTGATGTATGCAAGTCTCGCAGAATACTGATGTCCGTGAAAATGCAAACACCCGGTTGCGCCCTGCTACTACGTATTCTGCCTTCTGAGGAGGATAATTTTGTGTTGGGACGCTGGTAAAGAAGATCGTACGGTATTGGTCAAACAGCGGGAAGCTGTGCTATGTCAAATCAGACGTTCTCGCCGCTATTAGGCGTCGCAGTTACCTGCCTTGAGTTCACGTACCTCTGTATCGTGTGCGTATATCGGTAGAGGTTGATGCACTCTTGTGTATTGCTAACATTACAAATACCCCGTACTTACATGTGTTTAAGCTCTTAGTAGAAAGGCTGTATCGCGTAAAGCTAGGGTATTCGAATACCCAATGGTATCCGATGTCACGCTAGGCTTAGCCTCTGTTTTATTCGGACAGGAAAGGGCCATTCTGCACAACGGACATTGGACTTAGCTAGTGAAATCGGAACGGAGACGGATTCGATGCGTGAGGCGCTGAAGTGGCGTTTAGCTCGCAACCAACCACTGTGTTGTCCCTGCAGACAAGCCTGTAAGGTGCCAGACAGGATACGTCTCATCTCAAACTCACAAAATCGGCAACTTCCTGTGCACGCATGCTTTCGTATAGGCGCTGTTCCCGATTTCTGCGGCGAAGTGCGGCGTTGAGAGACCACGTCAATTCTAATTCTGATTTGCGGATAATCGTGGATACATACACATACTATTTCCTTTCTCCGGCGTATTCGGGAGTTGTACTGGACAGCTCCGTTGCGATTCTACTTCTACAAGCCTGAGTCAAGGGAGTGCGAGTTAGTAATCAGCATAGCACTGCATCGTCATCTTTCTATTCTGACTGGTCTTGGCGACTGCGGTAGACTCCCAAACTACGAGACGGATAGCCTTCTTCACTGCATGCAGCATAGACAAAGATATAACACCGCCATGCACCAGGATCTATGGCCTATAGCGAAAGAAAACTCGATGGAGCTAGCATGGTTCCTGCGTGAGAATCCGAGCCTCTGAAGCTTGGAATCCTTCAAATCAGGACGGATTGTGCCACGGACTCCTCGCAAGGCGCCTGTGTGAGCCCGCCACGTTGATTAACAGGAATCGAGAAGCATTATGGGTACTTCGCTGCCAGTTTTGAATTAATAGCCACTTCCCAATCAGGAGATTCAGAAGGCATCCATGTGAGCAACGGGCTGCAGATGACGATGTGCATTGAATCGTTGTTTGAAACGGTAGAGGACGGCTACTGATTCTTCTTTCCGTTCTCGTTAAAACTGCCAGTGAACCCCTATCGGATTTCCGCGTGCCTTCGCGAACATCCCACTCGTTGCATGAAATTAAGTATGTCATGACGTCGGCGAGTGTAAGTTGATCAGTCTTCACTGATTTCCATAACAGGCTTGCTGTACCTAGAGAGCCTCGCGGGTCAGTCAAATTTGTATAGAGATCTATATCTGTATACACGGATAGCAGCAGACAGGGGAGATGGAAGTAGGGAAAGAGAGTTCGATGTGTAAAATTAGGATTGAGAATCTCAGGTGAGGAGCGCTTGTGATCTGCCATCAGCTGTTTTGCTCTTACCGACTTGTTGCCGGACTCTCCCGGATAAGCGATGTGTTTCGTCGGTATTGGGCTCGATTGTGAAATTTTGGGAGCGGGAATACCTGACCTACAGTGAGAATCGGAGAGGCAATGCGACTATATAAGTCGTCAGACAGATTTGACTCCATCACAGTACTGAATTGAGTCGATGCGAGGCGCTGCAAATCCCGCAGTTGATCAAAGACTGCAGGCCTTTGCACAGATGCTATCTCGTGGATAGATTTGCAATGCAGGCTCGATCCACTCAAGCGGTGAGATATTCTGTTCAGATATATGCATCAATATCAAGTTTGTTACGCTAGCGATGTACATAGCCTAGTTGCCGTCATGAGCATGCTGTTCCTGGCGTCGGAGTGTATTTGACTGTACGGACACTTGATTATTACAGCCCCAAACCAGAAGATCTCTCGCTCGAATCCATAGGTCTCCTAATCGCAGTAATACAGAAGTAGAGCATTCCTTAGTTAGGAATGGGTATGCGACAATACCTCGGTAGAAGTTGTCAAACTTCGCCGAGAGAGACCGACGTCATGATGTATATGATCAGGACGTAGATGGTGAAGATGGTAGCATTACTTAAAGTTCACACTACTGTGAATCATGATGTTACTAGTAATCACTGGGTTCATATGTGACAGAGTCAAGTTCTTGATCAGGAATGATCAAGGTAAGTCTAACTCTCTGGTGTCTTCTTGAGTTGAATTTCTGAGGCAGGGCAGTTTTAGTCCGATTGAAGTTGCTGTTATTCATAATTGGGTGTTTGTTGCTCTGGCGAGTGCCTTCTCAGAGGGTGCCACTGTGCTGCTCTACTTAATTCTAAAAGCCAACAATCTGCATGCTAATGGCATTTGCTACCAAATATTTTCACCAACTTTTCTATTTTATCACCTTATCAACTACAATGTTAACATCAAAACAAATCTCTTCAACGCATTCAAATGACCTCCCTTCTATTTCTTGCACCTCTTCATCTCCCTGCCTATTTTAACATTGTATCCAGCTCCAACTCCAAATCTCTAACCATTTCCAAAATCAAAGTGCATTAAGTAAAGCAACCCCAAGGCAATTAGAAAGCACTCAAAGTGGGGGGTGAATGGGAAACATTCAACACAATATGACACACAGGTCAAAAACTATTTGTGTGGATGGACGTGAATAGCTCAAAGAGGGGAGGGGAGAGGGGAGGAAGAAGACTGTTGAAAATTGGTTGAATATCATGCAGACCAGTATGAGTTGATAGCCTCCGCATATGCTCTTCAAGGAAAGAAAAAAAGAGAAAAGCAATTGCACAGGCTCCAACTTGCTTTCATATTTTTTTGTCGGAAAGCACAGGGCATACACTATCTGTCCAAAGACAGGAGAAAAGAGCACAAAATAGATTAAAAGGAAGAAAGCATGAGCACGCATCCACAAAATCAAAGCAAAACAGATCAAGCGAATCGTAGTTGAAAAAGGCATTGGTCCTCATATACTCATTTATTCACCGCTGAAAAGGCCTTGGTCAAGAAGAACGTAGGTTATCGTTATTCGTTTCGTTCAATGCTGTTGCGCGACCGGATGGTCCATCGGTTCGTCCACTTGGTTTATAGGTGTCCAGCCATTGGGGGTCAACCACCCCAAACGCAACACATCAAAGACTGTTGAAGCTTCGTTAAGCAGTTGATATTGCCGCCTAGTCGCATGGTCGACCGTTACGAGGTGTGGATGCGACTGCACAGATTTAATTTCCTCTATCGTAAGGCGGCGACTCAGTGCGCTGTTTCGGAAAAAGGAAAAAACAGCACGTTAAGTAAAAACATCCCGAGTCGAGTCGAATTTGTAAAGGGAAAGAGAAGTGATGACATACGCAGTGGACACCGCGAGCGCATATTCGGAAGGAGTCGTATCCCAGCTCGGTGGTACATTGTGTATCACTAGTGGAATGTCGAAGACATGAATCGGGTTGCGTACAAGGCATCGAATGGATGCAGCGAGTGGGTGATTTGCCAATGGCACTGGTCCAGTGCGTGTCATGAGTGCGATGTCAAAGTGAACTTGAGCTTCGTGTGGGTGATGAGAAGGGACGAAGCTTAATTGTGGTGTCATACGCCCTAAGAACAATCAGATTTCACACATCAGCATGACAAGTTGAATTGTTTTTCCTAAAAAATTGTGTGATTGCTCACTATTGTCGAGACGGCATTCCTGCATATCGCACTCTGCTGCATGGTCCAGAATCGCCTTGAAAAATTCTTTGTTGGTCAGACGAGAGAGGGGATTCGGGTGTGAAGGTTTCCGGAACCCCAAAAGCATTGCTTTCTCCTCGTATACTTGTTCCTGCATCGGGTCAGGCGTCACGACACGAGGTTGAAATTGCGGTGTCATAGACTGGCTGTATGTCGACGTCGTAGAGGCGGCAGATGAAGGCGGAGGCATCATCAAGCGCGAACTAAGCAAGGAGAGTTTGAGTCATCATGTATATGTACGTCTGCATACTGCCGAAATCTGGTGCGGAAAGCTGACCTATCGGCTTGGGTCCTCTGTTTATCCAAGTTCTCGATGCGAATCTTAATCTCAGAAGGTGAGAATATGCCCAGTCGTACATCCTCATGGTACGAGCGGCGTAGCTCAAGATAGTCAGCGAGACTAAGTTTGCTACGTTAAACGTTAAACGTTAGGCATCTAATTGATCTATCCGGTCCGTAAGGGGAAACAAGTGAAGATACGTACGTAGACGATTGAATATGAGCATCGGATCCATTGACTGTAACCTTTTGGCCCTCCGCGGTGCCTCCAGCTAGACTCTCCAACCCTCGCTTTACTGAAGGTGAAGGCGACTGAACAGGGCCAAAAGATGAGACCGAGTTAACGCCGTTATGGAGGTGCTCAACGGCATGCTCTTCCTCAGGCGGAGCCTGTGGAATGCTGGACACGCCGCGCTGTACTTTAACGGTCGGTGTCTTCGGTTTCTCTTCTGGACGCACGGGCATGAAGCTGCGGAGAGCTTGGAAGGCGGGCATAGAGATCAAAATTTTCCCTGTGATCAAAGAAATGTTTATCTTAAGCACATATTTACGGCAACGCATGTGAAAAATACCACATACTCCATTCTGCTAGTATTTCGTGTGGGAACCCTTCGTCAGGTCCGGCAGCGGGAATAACGACACGGTGAGTCGCACATAGCTCCTGCAGCCGTCGACAATATCCGGAGTACTCCTTCCACATCCTACACGTGGTTTTAATAAGCACCCAATCGAACATAACAAAATGTAAAGTAGACTCACGCAACATTTTTGTTTTTCATGCGGGAACCAGCGATCTGTGGGTCCTGAGCGTAAGCCTCGGGATGTACGACTTTTGCAATCCGACGATAGACGTCCTCTTTCGTATCACCGGGCTGGACATAAACATAACAACATTAGCATGAACTAATGCTGGGAAATACAGAATTGCAGTAAACAGGGCCAATGAGCAGTCACAAGACCAGCGAATAGTAGATGCCCCCAGCCAAATAGGCATGTAGCCAGCCTGTAACAAGACATGGCTCTGAAACTCCTGCATATAGGCAGTAAGAAGATCCTTGGCTTAATCGAGCATGATACATGCCAAGTTAAGTTCCGGCTTTGACCAGTCGGCGTCCGCAATCAAATTATAGCAAAACCTTGAAAGAGAACAATGACAGAAAGGACCGGGTCATCGCCGGAGAGCCCGTCATGAACACAGCATTGACGCCCATGTGAAGCAGGAAGAAGTAAGGATTAGGTTGAGTGTATGCTTGTGTCGGTTCTCGGCAACTTGTTTACACGTCAAACGAAGGAGTCATTTCCTGTTGGGGGCGCTCAATGTCCGAGTCTAGTGACAAATCCAGGAGTCCCATGCCGCAGCAGCACTCGTGTGTACGTGTAGAGTCTCCAGAGGAAGAGCAAACACCCCAGCTATTTTCCAGTAATTTTTTTCTTTCCCGGTAGTCCCAAAGGCCCTGTTCTGTCTGCAAAACATACTGAACAGAAATAATAAAGTAGCGCTCACCTTAACAGCCATATTCTCGTGATCAGGAAACAGGACGTTTTTATTCTCTGGTTTGCGCAGTTCCTCAACAAGTCGCCAGGTTAGTGCATAGTTATCTGCACTCCAGTCAAAATCCGGCATTTTCTCCTTGGCTTTCTTATGCGGGTGTGGGGAGGTGGCAGCTCCAGGGGCAGTAGCAGCGACGACGCCGCCCCCAGTGCCCGCCATGCCTGGCGAACTGTCCGGCGGCAGCGCGCGCTTCTCGCCCCGAAGCATGGGCGCCAATGACCAGGTGTACTGCGTCCCCGACGTAGGGCGCTTGTCGTCGTTGAATACCCCCACGGCTGCTGTGAAGTGTCTCCGTCAACATGGTGAACACTGAAAGAAGAGTTATTCAACGAAAAGATGTACGTGCCCGCTAGCTGGTGTTGTGTGGTGCGTAGATCTCTGGTTGGTGAGCTGATGGTGGGTGATTCTCGCGACGATGGTGGGCGTTGTCGCCTGTGATTCTGTTTTGTACGTAGCGACAGGTAAACGGGAGGGCACACGTGATATGATTGATCACTCACGTAAACTCTCGCTTTACAATCCGCGTTCTACTGTGTTATCGCCAGGGGCAGGAATATCCAGGTGAGAAACACAACCCGGTTTATAATGCTGTCTACAGAGGTTTATGAAAGGAAGCTACTATCCTTGTACATCATCAGCTCATGTCCATCTCATGTAACCCCGCCCGCCAAAAGCCGAGAAATTAACAAAAAACAAAAAACAAAAAACAAAGAAAATCTGAATGAATAAAAGAATGGTAATGATAAGAGAAAGCATGTGTACACAGCACATGAGAAAAAAAAGAAAACAAGGGATGCATGTTGTAGATAACACTAGCTAATATATAGATATTTGTATTGAGTTCAGTCCAATAATGTCCATGCACGTCTACATTCGGTGTGCCCCTCGACCAGCGAAGTTCGTCGTTGAACCAGCGTCACTGAACGATGATTGTTGTCGTGGTGGCATTGGTCGATGCAGCACGGCTTCACGATCAGCGTACGTTCCCTGTTGCGATATTGGCGGATACATTGGCTGAGGAACACCTGGAGGATACCGTGGTTGCATGCTCGTCTGTGACCCGTTATCAAACTGTCCGAAGTTGTAAGACGGTAACGAAGTGTTGCTCTGTGCGGGCGGCGTTGGTGTTCCTGCGCGACTCGAGTAACCTCGCTGGTCAGCGAGTAAGGGGTACTGATCATTACCGCCTGCATCGAAGCGTGACATCTCGATTTCGTGGGTCGTGCCATGAGCAAGATAATGGTCGTAGCCAGCAGGTGCTCGCGGCTTTCCTCCGCTTCCGGCGTAGAATTGTGACTTTTGATGTTCCAGAGTGGTTGGCACATCGTTGAGTATCGTTGACGACGATATTGATCTTTGGTCCCAATCTAGTTCGCCGCGATCGCGTTGGTAAAGAGCTGGGTCGTACTCCAATTCGCTCTGGTGAACAGCAGCAATCTTAATACCACCCGGAACAACCGAAGCCTCCATCTTCTGTCCCCCAAACTCGTCCAACTTCGCCTCCTGGTTCGCAATCCGTCCATGATACACCTCCGGAAGCAAAGGCATCATCTTTGCATGTAACATCGGCGTAAACAACTCCGCATGCAACGCAGGATGACCAAATCTCTTCTCCAATCGTCCACCACGTACATCTCCTCGTTCCGAATGCACTTTCGCTAAGCGGAGTTCTTCGTCGCTTGGTACGTACCAGTTGAATTTGGGTAGGAACTCCCGGTCGCAGTAGATTTTGAAAGCTAAGACCATGAGGATTGGTGGGAGTGTTGATATCCATTGGAAAGACTTCCATCCTTGCTGGAGGCCGATTGCTAAAAACGACATGAGGATCTTACTTGCGGGAAGGACAGAGAAGGCGAACGTACTCAGAACCATCAGCGCCTGCATGAATACAACTGTCCAAAGAAGTCGGTTGATGACAACGTTCCAGAGACGCTAAGCCAGAACCATCAATACTCGATACTTTAGAACGATAACTGACACTGCTTACCCCGCCGCTTTCGACCTTCGTCACAAACACAAACATTAACTGATACTTGTAAACGAATGAATTGATCCAAAATATGATCGCTGCAGCGAGAGGGACCAAGGGAGCAAGAGGTGAGAAAATAAGTGCCACGGCACACATGAAAAGCTATCAATCAATCAGTCAGTTGTCAATTCGCCTCCGCAATCTACTTAATACCAACCACATTAGAACTAGAAATTACATTAATGATTGGTTCTAGTTTCATCACACAAGATAGAATGCTCACTAGTAGATAGCATATTCAAAATCGGGAGGTTTAGTCCAGTCACGGATGTCGCGTGGAGTACGGCCGAAGATCCATGTCTTGAACCAGATGATTAACAAGTGGAGACCCTGGGCAAGATCGAAGATGGCCAAGAAACCACGCAAACTGCAAGCAAAGTTCCGTCTATCAACATGAAATCCGATACTATCAATGAAAGTTAACCCACGGGAAGAATGTAAGCCAATAGTTGGCCTGGTCAATGTATGTACGGTTGATTGTGTCCGGAAGTTCTGCAATATTTCTGTTGGTATATCAAAGTAAAGAGAAATAACCCAATTACACTCACTGTTAAGGTTATTTATAATCTCTGAGAAGCTTGAGTGTTTACCGATCTGAGAGACAATCTGCTGCACGGAGTCTAGAGAGTTACACAACTTAGCCACTCCTTGTTTCTTTGCCAGTTAACTATGAGTCGACTTACTGATAATAACTCCGATGAGCGTGAAAATGAATAGCTGGGAAATGACGAGGAACGCGAAGTAACGTGCAATAACAGCACGATCGAGACGTGAACGAGTGACAGCTCCTTGGAAGCGAGATAGCCATCTCATAACAACAGGCAAGAACCAACCGAAGAAAGCACCAACAGCGGGAGGAAGAATACCAGAGATCACAGTGAAAGTACCATGACTAGATTCTGACCATTTCTCGAGGAATCCGACGTACGACGTTAACTGAACTTGATGTTAGAAAATGAGAAGTGCGATAGTGGAAAATCAACGTACAGAAGCCAAATTGGCGAGGAAAGACACAACAAGAAGTGGAATGGTATTCAAGGAGCATACAACGACCAGATATACCCATCCAAGAGTCTTCTTGCTTGCTAATGTAGCTTCCGATTTGCTCAAGTTATCCCAGACCTTTCATGACTATGAGTCAATAATCCAAAGGATAACAAGTAGTGATCTTACAATGTCCTTCGGGTTAGGAGCTAATGTCACAAGGGTGCCTTTTGGTCTCTTATCGCGAAGCATCCGAGCAACTATGTGTGCATAGGGTACAGCCGCCATGGACGCGAACCCGTAGTTCTCTGCCCGGCGAGTATCGATTTCTTCGCGGTAGGCTTCAATTGCCGCTTCACAGCGCTTGACCTTGTTACTGCGGGGCTGTCAGTTCAGTATAAATTAATAATGTTTTCTTCGAAGCTCACGTGTAGAAATCAATCGCGTCATATTTCGTACCACCAATCCCCAAGAAGCCCCCTTTTGTAATAGTGGGTCGTTTCTGACCGATCTTGCCACCCTTAAGATATCGGACAAGGATCTTCTCGAGGTCACGAACAGCGTCATTATGACACTCGATAAGTTCTGGTAACCGTCCAACTTTACGTCCAACGTGAACACTCGTAGCCGGATATGGGACCTGGACAGTCTCCAGGACGCTCCGAATACCCTCATCGGATTGGAATTTCCTTGGTACCTTCTGAATCATGAGTGTCCGTGCGTAGAAAGACTGCATGTATTCCGGCGATCGGAACCACGCGAGTCGGAGCTGAACCATCCGCTTCCAATTTACCCATATGAAGAATAATACAAGGAAGGTGAACACGTAAGTCGCAGCGACGTGTACGAAGAGGATGGAACCTTTGAGGTTACGGATGGTGAGTATCGATAGCAAATCGCGGTCTGAGGAATCGACATTCTTGAGGTTATACACAACGTTTACGGGTATGAGCACACCGCACGAGATAATTGCAATTGCGGTGAAGAGCCATCGAATCATGCGCAAGAAACGCAGGAAAGCGACGGCGTCGAGACCGATTTTATCGAGTAACTGGGCTTCTTTGGTGTGTATGAGAGGCGGGAGCCACCCAAATATGCCGTCCGATATTGGTGGAGGCTTCTTGTCGCCGACATGATATTTCACTTTTGGCTCGTAGACAATCTATAAACGGGGTGTTATTAGTCTTGACTTCAGAAAACAAGGCAATCCAGAAGGCGCGTCTGCGTGAGGCAAATGTACTAGTCTGGTAATCTTCAGGCACCAGCATTTCTATTTTATTTCGTGTATCCACGAGATTCTTTCATATTCTTTAAAATTTGTGTAATTCGCAGAGTCGACACCGATGCATTTGCCAGACACCTATACCATGAAGGAAAAACGCGCACCTTATTTCGAGGCCGTAAAATATTGAAGACCAGTACGGTCAAGAGCTACCAGGTTCGACAGCGTCAATCAACGTGTCCCGTGTCCGACGGGTCCACAAAAGTACTCACAGAAATGATAGACATTAAAAGGACCTGAGAACCGACAGCTGCGGGCGCCAGCGACCGTTGGGCCTGATTCTCGTTAATGAAGTCACCTAGCACACCACCATCGTCGTCGCGTCGAAAGAATATGCTCGTCATAGGAGTTCGTGAAAGGCTGTACGCCCAAGTAAAGACAGAAAGAGAGATTATTGGTCAAGGAGGACCCGCGGTAGAGCGACGGCTGAGTTGAGCAAAAGGAACGATGAAGATGGAAGGAAAAAGACTTGAAGCGTAAGCGTGGCAAGCGTCGAGGACGGCGACGAAGGGCCGTTGTGCTACGAACAATTAGGAAGTTGTTGTGGTGTGCTCCCGGAGGACTCCTGTGCCGTGCGTACAATGATCTGCTTACATAACATCAAATTACATCTCATTCATAATTCCCATGCGGGCTTACTTGAACCTCCGCAGCTGTCCCTACACACTCTCCACTCCACTGCATGCGGAAGAGACTCTCGTACGTATGATCTCATATTTTCCCAGGGCCGTTTTCCGACCGAATATTTTCCTTCATTTTTAATTGATGGCCTAGACTCGCGTCGATCAATACTAGGATCAGCTAACATCGATCGTCTGATACTAGAACATCCAAAACCTGCTCAAATCCAGTTTTATTACGGACAGACGAAGAAGTCTTCTGCTGCTGTATAACTTGTATGCCAACATTGACCTATACCACTCCGTCCATGCCTTCCGAGTCGTTGTTACTAGTACTGCCTCGTAATTGCCGATAATTTCTAGGGGATTTTAGCCGGCTCCCGCTTGCATATGACGGAGACTTTATTTCGCCGATGCGTTAGAATCAGCGGGAATGTGCACGCTTACGATACTTAATATGCAAGCGCGGCCCGACGCAGGTCATCGCAGGCCGGTCGAGTTAAATCTCACTGTTCCTATCACACAAAGGATGTATTTATAAGTTTATTGGCAGATTCTGTTGATGAATTTGTTCTCAGATGCTTAATCACAGTTCTGCTCTGTGTAGTACCAGAACATCCTTGACGTGAAATTTTGGTGCTGTATTGCTAGGCAATGGAACTCACGTATTGGCGCGACTCTCTACTTATTGCAATGATCTTCTCAGACTTATCCTTATGGACTTAAGCTCAGCACTCAAATGTCCTACGTCCATGCTTACCTTTGCACAAGGCATCTCCGTTAACGCCTTCACACCTTTCCTTTCCTGTTCTTCGTCCGTTCTTACTGCATTCACGCACGCAGCATGTAGTTCGGGTAAGTCTCCTTGCTCTCAAGCAGCAATCAGACTCATCCTCTCCGTTCAGGACCACAATTCTTGGTGACGAATGAACCCAGCTAGTCATTCTCGGACGAGCCTGAGCTCACTCTCTCGCCCTTCCTCGGCTCTAGCTTCCTTAGAGCGCATACACTCCAGTATTTCGAACGTCGCCACAACCGGTCGGTCATATGCTCGCTCGAGATCATCGTCGCATAGTTTGGGGCGTATGATATCTGTTTCTGAGTAAGTATCTCAGTCTCTTAATTTAAATATTCCGACGTGATAATCGTGATATTGATTTTGTGCTGGTCGTTATTGTAGATTAGCGAGCAGCGACGCTTTTGATGAGTGGAGACGCGGGACGCCTCTTTTGAAGCCTCTGTCCGTCGGTGGCGGCGCACGGTGGGATGCGTTTCCTGTTCCACAGACAGTGAGGAACCTTGGAAATTACTTGCTTGATGTTAGATTACCGGACTGGGTATTAGAGGTGAGCCTTCGAGATTCAAGTTTCCCTACCCTCAATATTAAATTTCTGAGACAAACTTCGTTTCTATCCATTAGACCTCATCCCATATTTCCCCTCTACCAGGAGTGAGGCATGTCGATATGTACGTCGAAGAAGATGCCGCACTTAAGAGCGCGTACGAACGCCTTGACGAAGAATCTGCAGAGCTTGTTAGGTTGCATAATCAGCAAATGACGGGCGAGTTGAATTGGAGGATGCCCGTGGATTTTATGGTTCGAAAGGCCTTCGTCAAACCTCGTGCTCTTCCAAATATCCCGAACCCAGCTGAAGAGGCTTTCATGTGAGTCGCATATTCATATTCCATTGTTTAATACTGATAAATATTGCATGTACCGCATTTGATGTTTGGATCAGTTGCGACCTTGCACTCGACATGCCCTATTCCACCACCCCACTCAACGTCTCCATTAACCCAACAGTCATAGCAGACGCAGTCATCTCAACCTCCCTCTACCCAAGTCCATCCATGTTCAGCCTCGACTCACAAATCTTCGAAGAACTCCGTGTAGACAAAGAATCGCACGACTCACCCGTCGTATGCGTCCCTCACCTCATCGTGAAACACAAAAACAAAAGTAGGAATGGGAACGGACACGGATCGGTATCGAGTATCAATATGCTTAATGAAGCGACAAATGAGTTGGAATTTTGTATTGGTGCATGTATGCAGCAGAGGAGGTTGTTAGGCCTTGAGCGAGAGACGATGTTTGGGATTGCGTGTAGTGCAGGAAGGGCAAGGGCGTTTACTGCGTATCGGAGGGATAACCAGGTAAGCCTTATTCAATTCACAATAACATGGAAACGATACAGTTACTAAGAAGTTAATGTGAAACATAGATCCAAATCGTCCGATTATACGCAGAAGACTTCGACCTCCAAGTCCTCGAACAATCCTGTCTCTTTTTCGCTCTCCTCCTCCGTATCCGGCACTACATCAACATGGTCGCCTCAGAGCTCGAACACATCAACGGTTCCGAAATCGAAGAAAAGATAAGAATCTCAGAAAGATCATGGAAAGCTGACCCAACGGACCCTGCACCACCTGGTACTTCGTGGCCTATCCCAAGTCCTCCTCGCTTCAGATCACGTTCAAGATCGCGTTCACCTTCGGATCCGGGTTCACCGTTTAATCCGGGCTCGCTTTCTCCTCACGCTCTGCGTAGACGTCTCTCAAAGACGTGGAGTATCTCGACTAATGGGAGTGCCGGGGCAGGGCCTTTGAGTGATCCGGATAGTATGGACTTGGATGAGGATTGTCCGAGTTCCGCTGGGTCTTCCGTTGCAGAGGATTTTAACTCGAGAGCTATGCGTACTTGATCTGATTAAGGGTTGTGTGAGGAAGAATGGATGATAGATAACAGACTTGTTCCTTGAATACCAAAACAATCTGTATTTCGTTACATTCAAATGTTTTTGGGTCGTCGATAAACTAAATAATACCTTGTATCAAGTAAATTACAGTCTCTTACTGTTTATTTGATATATATATATCAATATCAATTCATTTCAACGGACCGGATGGAATGTTATTTGGCTCTGCGATTTTGACTGCTAGTGGTAATCAAGTTGATCAAGTACTGTACAATGGAGTATATTTTATAGTACTACATTTTGATACTAATGGCTTCCAATTAGTCAAAATACTCTCCTGATCATTTTGGTGTGTTCCAATGACATGAAACTGTTAGCAGGTATTAATATTGGTTATACCCGATGTGCCCCACGTCCTCCAATATTTGATTCAGATCCTGCTGCGAAATAGTTATCCGTGTAACTATACCATGATACTTGTCGTGTATGTGGTATTCGCTGACTTACGCCCGTCTCATTGGCATTGCTCAGTCCGGCTTCTTGATAAGGCCTAGGTTGAGGACGTGGCTGCTGGAACCCTGCCAAAGTTTGAACCTGTGCCGGAGTCGGGGTTGAAGCGTAATACATGCCTGAGGTGATGTTCGTTTGCCACGGGCTCGATAAGAGCCTTCCGTTATCGGACTCACCGAAGTAAATGGGTAAGGAAGCGGTGCTTTGCGACATGCCAGCCCAAGGTGCATGAGTCTGATGACCGTGTTGGTGATCTAACGGGAGGAGGGGTAGTCGGGCTTGATCGCCGCCTGTATTGTCAGGACTGACCACTTCGAACTCCCGTCTTGGTCCGTATGCGAGGTAATTGTCGTATCCTGTCGGTACTTGAGATACCCTCGTCGAAGGATTGGCGTAGAAATGCGAATTTTGATGTTGTAAGGATGGCTTGTCGCTATTCATGCTGAGTATACCGGCAGAGGAAATCGAGTCGCGGTCCCAGTCTATCTCAAGGCGGTCGCGCCGGTAGAGCGAGGGATCGTACTCAAGTTCATTCTGCATGGGGAGCAACCAATTAGTAAACCATGTCGAGCTTCGAGAATTGAGAAGGTGAGCTCACCGCGTGAACAGCAGCAATCTTGACACCACAAGCTTCTGCCTTTTGACCTGCTCTATTATCCAGTGCCACCCACTGATTATCAAAACATCCATTGTAAACCTTCGGCAAGAGAGGCATCATATCCGCATGTAGCATGGGTGTGAAGAGCTCAGCGTGCAACGCCGGATGGCCGAATCGCCTTTCAAGCCTACTTCCGTGCGCGTCTCCGCGCACTGAGTGTACCTTCGCTAGACGGAGTTCTTCCTCGCTTGGAATGTGCCATCTGAACTGCCGTAAGAACGCACGCTCGATGTAGAGTTTAAATATTAAGACTAAGAGGATAGGTGGGAGAGTTGACACCCATTGGAATGATTTCCATCCTTCCTGCAATCCGACCGCTAAAATACCAGATGAGTATGTCCTGAGCGGACGGATAGTGAAGAATACTTACTAAGCATCAGCAGCGCCTGCATGAACACAACGGTCCAGAGGAGCCTATTGGTGACAACATTCCAGAGACGCTGAAATGGGGATAACTCATGAGCAAAGTGATCCGACCAGAAAAGCATAGAAAATGACGTACTCCTCCACTTTCGACTTTCGTGACAAAAGCGTATATAAGTTGATATTTGTATACGATAGAAAATATCCAGAAGACGACGGCCGCAGCAACTGGCATAAGCGGTACGAGTGGAGCAAAGGCAAGAGCAACTGCACACATGAAAAGCTGCACATATTATCAGTGGTCGACACGATACCCACGTAATTTCCTGCACGTACAATATTGGAACTAGACGAATATTATAAGTATTGGCTCAGAGGTTGGTAGTTTACGACTTACTAGTAGTCTGCGTAGTCAAATCTGGGCGGCTTGCTCAGCTCACGTATATCGCGAGGTGTGCGTCCAAGGATCCGCTTCTTGAACCAAATGGTCATTAAGCGGAGACCCTGGATAAGGTCAAAAACCGCTATGAATCCGCGTAGACTAACAAACGCAACGTCATAAATAGCTAATCAAACTCCCTTATGTACAGATAAATGCGCACAGGAAATATGTAATCCAGTAATTTGCCTGGTCGATATAGGTGCGGCTGATCGCTCCCGGAAGCTCTGGTTTGCTGTAAGGCACGATGAGTGGGCTGAAGGAAAGAAGTAGCTTACTATCTAGATTTTCGACTATCTCTTTGAAGCTCTTGTGCTTCCCGATCTGAGCTACAATTTCCGTGATAGAGTCTAATCGTCAAATACTCAGCAAAATCTGCGCCGCTGGCGACAAGCTTCAAGTAACCCACTTATTACAACGCCAATCAACGTGAAGATGAACAGCTGTGAAATAACAAGAAACGCAAAATATCGGGCGATGACGGCCCGATCTAGGCGAGAACGAGTGACAGCGCCTTGGAAACGAGACAACCAACGCATAATGACAGGAAAGATGATTCCGAAGAAGGCGCTGACAGCGGGCGGAAGTATACCAGAGATGATGGTGAACGTGGCAGGGTTGCTCTTCGACCAATTCTGCAAGAATGCTACATATGCAGTCATCTGATAAACTGTTAGTGCAAAACAGAAGAAGCACGAAGAAGAGATGTACGGACGGCATTCAAATTGGCGAGGAAAGATACAACAAGGACTGGGACGGTGTTCAAGAAACACACAAGTGCGAGGTAGATCCAGCCGAGTGTTTTACGTGCAGCTATCGTTGTGCTACTCATGCCGATATTCTCCCAAATCTTGTAAACGAGAATTAGCAGGCGCACGTTGAAAGTGTCAAAGTAAATTCTTACGATGTCTTTCGGGTGGGGAGCTAAGCACACAGTCATACCCTTCGGCCTCTTGTTGCGAAGCATGCGAGCAGTCATTTGTGCGTATGGTACTGTCGCCATGGATGCGAATCCATAATTCTCGGCCGTACACGTCCCAATCTCTTCTCTGTACATTTCAATAGCCGCTTCGCTTCGCTTGACCTTGCTTCTAATAAATCGTTAGTGGAAAAAAAAATTGCAACTCTGCCCCAATCCATCTACTCACGTATAGTAGTCGATGGCATCATATTTACTAGCGCCCATACCGAAGCAACCACCCTTTCTGACAGTCGGTCGGTGTGCATTGGATTTGCCGTCCTTGAGATAGCGAACAAGAATTTCCTCGAGTTTACGCACGGCATTGTTGTGATAATCCACGAGACCCTGCAATCGTCCGACATTACGTCCAATATGTACGCTTGTAGCCGGATATGGCATCTGCATAGCGTTGAGGACAATGCGAAGGCCTTCGTCCGACTGATACTTCCTTGGCACATTCCGAATCATAAGAGTACGAGCGTAGAAGGATTGCGTGTATTCGGGAGACATGAACCAAGAACGTCTAATTTCGAGCATGCACTTCCAGTTATACCAAACTGCAAACATGATGCAGATTGTGAACACGTATGAAGCGCCGACATGGATGAAGAGGACGCGGCCTCTGACATCGCGGATGGTAAGGGTAGAAAAAACGTCTCGTCGGTCTGGGTCAACATGTCTTCTGTTATACAGAACGTTGATAGGGATGAGGACACCACATCCGATGATCGCTATTCCAGTGAAGAGCCAGCGGACCATTCTCTGGAACCTCAAGAAGGTCACAGCATCGAAGCCAGATTTGTCCAGCATTTCGGCCTCCTTTGTATAGATGAGAGGTGGGATCCAACCAAGGTAACCATTTGAGATGTTGGGTGGTCTCTTGTCACGAACGTAGTATTTGAGCTTTGGCTCGTAGACAATCTGGAGGGAAAGACGATATTAGAACACGCTAACCATGCCACAACATACCGATTCTTGGGAAAAGCAAGAGGATTACCCACTTTGTTCCTAGGCCGTAAGGCATTGAAGGTGAGAATCGTAAATATCTACCAAATGAAACGTCCAAACAACTCATTCAACCATATTGACAAAATGAAATAAATAAAAAGCCCATACCGTAACTCCCGACATCAACAGGAATTGAGTGGCAACAGCCGTAGGCGACAGTGCCCGAGAAGCATCGTTCTGGTTCAGAACATTCCCTATCACATCGTCTGGACGGTCGCGGCGAAACATGGCGAAACCACTGTTGAATATTGACCACGACAAATCCAAGACAGGTCCCAGGAAGAAACAAGTCGTAGTGACAGTTATAGTGTCCAGTCCAGAAACCAAGCAGAGGATGCAAACAGGTGCACTAAGTCTACCCGCGTGAATAAATACACATTGTTGATTCTAGATACCGGGGTCGAACGGGAGTATCCTCGATCGAATAGGAGCCGGATGTCAAAAGTAATAACGAGGCTGTTGGCTAGGGCTAGGAACACCATCCGTCGCAAATACAACAGATGAGCATACTAAGAACCCAAATAGGTATTAAGAATGTAATAGTCCTGCTTTTACAGTTGTGTACTTCTCGAAGTGGTCGAATCGGTGTAAGAGAAAGGCACAAAAAGGGGGTATCCAATGCATTGACATGGTAAGACAATCGCTTTAATGAGACATTTAGCGACACAGGAGTCCAGGCGGTCCTCGTACCTTTTGGAGTCCCTTGTAGTAGACTAGTCTACTTCAGCACATTGCGGAAGAATGTAAGTGATTCAGAGCAAGTCGAAGGGAAGGTCACCACCTAGTATATCTGCTCCTGCCTGAAGGAGTTTCGCTCGAGTCACGTAGAGAAAATGAGTCCAGCGTTTCTCTGAGTGTAAGAAGGAAAAAACGCTACCATGCCATGACGCACGAAAACCATGGTGTTCGTGACGTTCAGCAATTCGAGTGTCTAGGTCTGCTAGCTTCTAGATCGTTACAGGCCTTTAACACGTGTAGCCTCGCATTTGTGCAATTGGATAGTCTCTCGTGCAGTGCGCCAAGTCCATTTCACTTGGTGCGGTATGGTAGATTGCCTAGTTATGGTCTGGCGATGTACTGATCCGTCTCGTTCTTCCCCTGACTAGCGATACTGATGCCCAAGTTCATATTGACCCTATGCTGTACAAGCAGCTTTTTATGCTCAGGCAGGCATCATTCTCGATCAGCCGAACCTTATTCCCCGCGCTGATCTCATCCCCAATTCCGACAATCTCCGTCAAATTTGAGTGGGCCTCGGTCACTTTGATTATGCCAAGAGCAATAACACGAAAGTTGCTTCGCTGGAGACCAGTACCCCGTCTACACAGCCACGTCTTACTTGCTGCGAAGAGTTCCGGACGCCAGTACTGCAAGCCAAGGTAAGCCCCGTCTGTAGTCCTTGGGATACTATACAGCCCAATTGTCGAACTTGAAGTGACATATCGAAAGCAGAGTCCAAGGGAAAGCAACACAGAGGCGACAAGGTGCGATTTAACAGAGATGATGAGATGCACAGGATGCGCCTTAGATGGATGTGCAGGAGGGATTTCTGAGCAAATGACCTGGCAAAAGCAGGATAGGTCAACAACGTTCTCCAAGACGTACGTTCTAAAGGAACTTGTACAAGTTCGGTTGTAGGATGTGAACATTGTGAAGTGTGTTTCGTCCACGTGATTTTCTCTCCCAGACCTGACTCTGACAGCCTCGGGTGTTAAGTTTCAATCAGCTCTCGTTAACAAATCAATCAAGCAAGAGTAACTGATTCCCGGGGAGAGTTTGACTTCCTTATCGAACTTCCGATTGCCTGCTTGCAACCACCGGGCCGGCCCCGGGCCTTCTCTGCTTTTGCTTCGGAAAGTCAGCATCTGCACAAATGGCAACGTGCATGCTGCAAGTGCAACGTCCCACCCTCGGATACTACACATGGCCACCTCGGTCTCTGCAAAGATTGAACCTATTATAGCTCACGTCAAGGCATGTCTTGAACGGCACAGGCCGACCTCTGTTGCAAGTGAAAGCGGAGGTGTGAATGTGAACTCCAAGGCGGTACCAACACTCTTTGTCGCGTTCCAGGGGCCTCAGGGATCAGGTACGCTTCTAATTCTTTCACCATCTTTCGTTCTTTCTTTTCTCTATCCTCGAGGACATATGAAACTAATTCCAAGCTTGGCATCGAACCGCCTACAGGGAAGACGTTCCTAACTTCCCATCTACACAAAGCGCTTTCCGCACCGCCACACAATCTGTCAGTCGCGGTGCTAAGTATCGACGACCTATACCTCCCGCATGACGGCCTCGTACACGTCGCACGTACGCATCCGAATAACAGATTGCTGGCTGGACGTGGACAGCCTGGAACGCATGATGTACCTCTGGGAACGAGGCTTCTCGAAGAACTTAGCGCGATTAATGATAACTTGTACTTAAGCTCGGAATCTGGTGGATCTGAGAAGGACGGGGCAGACAGGAAAGAAGTTCGATTTCCGTTCTTTGACAAGAGTCTGTATGATGGGGAAGGAGATCGTGTAGCGGATGGTGGTCCGATCGTTCGTCCCCCGCTTGACGTTGTTCTCTTCGAAGGCTGGTGCGTTGGCTTCTGCCCCACCAATCCAGATGAAATCAGACGACGATTCGCGCAGCACATGCCGGATCTTGAGGGAATACTTGACTTGCAGGCAGTTTTCAAAGAGGAAGACATATTCCAGATAAATCAGAATCTTTGGGATTATACCAAGTGGTGGGAGTTCTTTGACGTGTTCATACAGGTAAAAGCAAACCTTTTCTCCTATGGTCTACTTTCCCCGTCATCTTTCAGAGTGTATATTTTAGTTTACTGATTGATATGACATGCACTTCAGGTAAAACCTCCTGATTCGACTCCATATTCACTCATATACAAATGGCGACTGCAACAGGAGCACGATATGAAAGGAAAGAACGGTGGGAGGGGTATGACGGACGAACAAGTCAAGACGTATGTCTTCGCCCTACTTTAAACTCTCTTCTCTACTTAGTCATTCACATGCTCACACTCCCTCTTAAACAATATCATTGCGCGTTCGCGCAAGCAGATTCGTCGATCGTTACATTCCAGGGTACGTGTTCTTCGCAGATGGCATCGAACACGGGTACGTTGGCGCCTCTGGGGTGCGACATGCTCCACGGTGGCTAGGAAATGGATTGAAAGTAGCGATTGACGAGGAACGGAACTTGGTTTCTGTTGATAAATTTTAACGGAATCGTACTATATATAGTTCAATGTTTACAAATCCATGACAGTTTAGGAGAGACACGAAGCTTAAAGCACTGGCATTATATTCGTTGAGAGCCTTTATCAATTTCTGGGTGCACTGAGTGCTAGACCCTTGAGGACGAAGGCCAACGAAACGGCGGACAGACTTGGTATTTGTAATAATACAGAAAGAGCTGGCCTGAGATACTATATCACGGCTATTCTTTTGACTTTGATTTGATTCAAAAGAAAGGATTCAACAAAAAGGAAGAAGATTTACATCACGTGACGTTATACACGTGCCAAACAGTCATGATTGATAATTATACTTATACAGTTGAAAATATCTTATTGCATAACGTCGGGAGAGGCCTCAGACCTATGCAATATGAGCAATATGCATTATGGTAACCGTGAGAAAACATTACTTAATTAGGAACGAAAATTCGATATTACTTTTCAATTTATTTGAAGACATATACACTATGACAAGAAAATAAGCACATATTTAGAGCATCAAGAAAGACAACCAAGACAATGACAAGTGTAGTAAACATGTATATCACTGTAAAACTCAAGAAATAGTTTGTAATACAAGGAAATACAGTCAGAATCTGTAGAAACAAAAAGATAGAAAAAGCTAGTCAATACAAATAACTTTCCCCCACATATCATGAAGAGATCTTTGCTGCCCTATCTTGGTCTTGTGGCAGCATTGAAGACATTGTAAGCTATGAAATGTCAATCAGAAACATTCTTTTTGTATTGAAGTATGTCAGTAAGGCTTCTGGGTACAAAAATCACAACAGTAAGCAGTCTAATTTCCCAAAATGCTCAGAATTTTGCATAATTTTCTCACAAATCTTGATGCAATATGCAATAGACTATTTTTGTGCATAATTCCCTTATCCCGAGCTGGGATTAGGCAGAAAGCTATGCAATATTCAATTTATGCATTATAATGTGATGCAATAAGGTATTTTCAACTGTAATTGTTCAATAATATCAATATAGTAATACTACCTCTATATCCACAGCTAAAGTAAGAATACCTTATCATATCCATAATCATTATATTGCTGTACAACATTGAGCACCCGTGACAAGAAATACGTGCGCATTCCCCCGGACCCATCGTGTGCTCTTCACCAGCTCTTCTAACTTTCTGTTGGTGAGACATAACTCATACGAGACGTTTCTGCTCGGTCAGTTGATGATTCTTGAATTTTCCTTTCACTTCACATCGATCTCATGCGCAAGACGTAGTGACACGTATCCACCGTTGACGCCCGGGAAAAATATTTCTTGATTACTGTCCGCCCTTCCGCCGCAGTCCATTGCAAGGAAGTCTTCAGAAGCTTTCTCTTCCTCTATGAGCATCAATTCCCTCCCCGTGGAGACACTCGGTGACATTTTCCATGAGTGTGTACAGAACAGGGTGCCCAGATGGGCAAAAACTAGGGCACTAGTACTGGTCAGGATATCGAGCGTTTGTCAGCGATGGCGCGAAGTATCTCTCTCGCACGGAATTCTCTGGACCTACCTTGACTATACCTTCCACGGGTCGCTTCGCAAACAGCTAGTTGAGATAATCGATGCATGGCTTCACAGATCTAACGGGGCGCCACTTAATTTCTCGTTCAGGTGCGAGCTGAATAACGCGTCTCCGAAGGACCATGAAGCGGCTGAGCGTATCGTCTTGATGTTGATTTCTCACCAGTGGCATTGGGGGAAAGTTAGATTTATCTGGCAATTCAGGACATCGCCCAGCTTTCCCGTCATTAGGCTGACAAATATGCCCAAATTGACGTCGCTTGACTTGTACGTCTATCTTGACAATAACTTGTACAGAGACGGAAGTATCGATCTCTCGCGTTCTCCGAGACTGGAGTATCTACATCTCAACTATCCGTTTCCTCTAAACGCTGGAAACAAGCCAATGCACTTACCAGCAGTGGACACGATTGATCTCGACTATTCGTCGATATCACCCACTGTACCACACTTTCTGGATGTTCTTGAGGCGACTCCGAATTTGAGGATCTTTCTGGCTTCCTCCTGCACAGCCGATGAATCATCAGATTACGAGGGTCGTCCTATCGTCTCGCATAATCTCCGAACCCTTGCAGTACGAAATGGTAATGCTTCGCTAGTACTTAAAAAATTGGACCTTCCTGCTCTGGAAGTTTTTATCTGCAGAGATGGCAAAGTCGACAATGCAGGCAATAATCTCTCATCATTTGTCGAACGCTCCTTGCCACCTTTAATCCATTTGAGGATTGGTGGCAACTGTGCAAACGAAGCCACGGTCACGCAAATTCTTCCACTTCTGCCCCTCCTTCAGGTGCTCGATATGGACCCCTGTACCGTTTCAGCACGACTCTTTCGACTTCTTTGTGTGCCGGGTGATGCTGGCAGACGCAGTCGTGCTCATGATATGCACAACCATATCGTATGTCCCGACCTGAGAGATTTCTACTTCTTCAACTATTCTGTCGTTGGAGAAGTACGTGAATGTGCCAATGCATTTTGCGAAATGCTAGAGTCACGCTGGGACGCTTTAAAGATGTGGGATGGGTTGGTCGGGCTCGGTAAACTTGAATACCCAATATCTGCAGTTGATTGCAGGAGAGTGCATTCTCTGTTCCGAGACGCGAAGAGCTCTGGTACCAGAAGTGCGTGGAATCCGGGTAGTCATCTAAATTTGGGATACTTGTAAATCATAGTAGTGTCCTCTTTTTCTCTCACATATTAGTTGAAGACACATAGCTTTAAGTAGCTGTGTGCTTGTCCAGATGAAGATAATTATACTGTGGTTGAAAGTTTTAAATCATTCACCTTTAGGTGTAATCGACCAAGTGAACTGATGTCATGCGCATTGTATTCTATTTTTTGCACCCTTACACTAAAACTTGCGTATTTACTGTATTTAACAAATATTTCAGTCCCACGTTCTCCTAGTCATTGCTGATCCTTCAGCTGACATTGCAGTGGTCATGCCGCCGCATATAAAGCACAGATGTCGGTTATAATCGAGCGCACAAAGCAGACGTTACTTCAGAACTGACTTGAGATATAACAATGGTGTGCGAGGGACTTCGGGTGTGCAATCCTTTTATGCAACACCCTTCAAAGTTCTTTACGTTGTATTTGTCCCCAATCCAATCCTTCGCCCTTTGCCCTCGCCCCGTCCTGGATACCTTGAACAGAAGTACGGCTACCTAACTACTGTGGCTACAATACGCTGCTACTACGAGTGCGAATGCATTACAGTTGAAGTGGGAACAGGCTCCCTGCGCAAATTGAGTGACCTTGCGAGGAATGAAATGAAATGAGAGTGAAAAATACGGAGAAAGAAGAACTGGTACAGTCGACTATATACGATACGGTAAGAAGAAAAACATGAGATGAAAGTGTTTTGAGCCTCCTGAGTTCAGGAAAAATGGTGATATTGATGTTGATATGTGTTGGTAGGTAGACGCTGTCGCCGTACATTACAAAGCGACCGGCGAAGATCCCTCTGTTCAGTGTTCAAGCCGCAGCTTCTACAGTCGCACCTGCACCCTCGCTCTCCTTCTGCTCAGACTGCTCTTTGTCCGTGGCAGTCGTCGCAGATTTGTTGAACACAACAGACCGATGTGGACTTGGGCCACCAATCGAACCTGTTTCAGGTGTCGGGACAGTAACCGTCGGCGCGTTCTCTGCCAACCCACGGTGGAACGTCCCCGGAAGCACGCGTCCCGGTGGATGTTGGAATGGACACGTTGCGCGAGTGCAACCGGCACCGAATCGACATTGCGTCGTCGCTGCATGCGAAGAAGTTGATTTGGGTATGAAAGGATGTGAGAAGGGACATTGGCCAGAAGCAACTTTCGTGCAGTTTGCACCGTATCGGCAGGGAGGTTTAGGTGGGCTTGGAGCGGCGGCTTCGACTTTTGGTTTCGGTTTGATTGGTACTATACATTGTGAATAAGTACAATGGCAACTAATATCTCATTAATCAAAGAAACGGCTTACCAGAGGTGACGCCTTTAGCAGCTGGGCTAACGTGCGCCTTAATACAATCTTTATCGTTACATTCGATGCCCGCTTCGCAGGGATCATTACTTAGAACGACCCCACTTTCAGGCGTGGCAACCGGACTTGCGTGCGAATATCGACATAGCGCATTCGTGCATTTAAGTCCGAATTTGCATAGTGAAGGAGACTGAGGGCGCTCGGGAGGGGTGAATTGTTTCAAGCCCGAAGACGCAGCTTCCACTGACGCGGTAGCTTGCTGTGGAGTGGGGGCCTGAATTGCAGGCGCTGGGGATGGCGACGCTTGGTTCTGGCTTTTGCTGGCATCTGTAAGGCGCGGTGCTACCCATTGGGCTTTCAATTGTCCATGTCCTCCGCCACGGCCGGCAGGCGGCCCACCTCGTCTGTGTTGGAACTGCTGTTGGTTCTGTTGCTGCCCGTCCGGGAGTGGCGTGTTCGGGAAACCGTTTGGTCCATTTGATTGACCTTGGTTGTTATTAAGCAAACTTATGCTGCTCGCCATCTGTGCCATGAGTGCCATTTGGTTCATCATAATCTCCTGGAACGCCATAGGGTTCATCATGCCACCACCCATTCCAGCCGCAGCCGCAGCCGCTGCCATATCGTTGCCTGGCATCATCATTCCACCCATTCCGTTATTAAACCCTCCATTCATTCCATTCATCGCTCCTTGAAGCGTTACGGCTTCAATTCGAGCTTGGATTTCGTCCCGCCCATAACGAGGCCCGCCCTGTGCCCGTCCTCCCATGCGATCTAGAAGAGTTCGTTGTTGATTCCCTTCCCGACTATGCATCGCTCGAGGACCGGTTGGTAGGTCCAACTTCCGGTTTTTGTTCGCGTGACCTCCTACAGGAGACGGAGAACGAGCAGATGCTGGTCGTTTCTGCCCAGCGGACGGTCCAGATGGAAGTGCTTGGCTGAGGGCATGATTGTACAACGGCGTGGCGCCAGTGCGTGGACCGGTCGGAGTACGACGCGCAGATTCGGGAGATGAGGTACGCCCTTCCGGCTTGCTGGGTGCCGCAGGAGGCGCAGCGGGCTCTGATACGGGTTGAGATTTCCTCGCTGCTTCTTCAAAAAGCCAGACAGTAAAGTCCGGGTCTAAAGTTGTGTTGCTTCAGTGATACGTCTACAATACGGAAAATTAAGACGACACACCATATTCACTGGCTCCAATTACTGAAATTTTTGTCAGAAAAGGAAGAGAAAGGCAACACAGGATACGTACGTTCCTCAAGTTCCGCATTGATTTGCTCTGAAGTCATAATTGTCAGGATGCGATTATGCGAATAAACTCCTGAATACACATACCCGCTGTCTTGTTGTTGACAAGCATGATTGTGATAAATTCCGCCATTACCTTGTCTGAAGCAAATTCAGCTATAAGTGCAAAATAAAACGACAGGGCGGGCATGTACGAACCTGGCTCTGGAGTAAACCCTCTTTTCTCCAGTTCCTCCATAATGGAGGCCTTTGAAACCAATTAGTACCCTAAAGCATAGTGAAACATAGAGAGAAAGGTGTACCTCCAATGCCTCTACGGGCTCTGTGCCGATGGTGAGGTCGAACGCCATGATGATTGTGGTGAATGTGGTCGAGGACGGCGGCAGAGGACAAGGCTGATTGTCACCAACACCATTCTTTCTCACGGATAAAGCGTGAGTCACGTGTATATACTGCTTGGTAATGCATCTTACATTTACAGTTTACCTAATCTTACTGTTAAGTCTGAAGAGTCAGTGAAGACTCTTGATTCTCCAAGTGTAACCATCGGCACTGACTCGACGATGAACATTTCATTCTTTATGTATCATCTCTACTATTGATAAGTTCGCTAGGAAAACTGTTTATTCTGCATGCCGTTACATGCCGTAATCTAGCGAATGTAGGAGGATCAAGGAATGACTCGTATAGACCACATGATAAATATTATCGATACAGCTGGGCTGGTTTCTCGTAAATCTCCACTCCCGCCTAGAAATGTCAGCCTATGGAGTGATTGTAAAGGAGCATTGCGCTATTCAACTGCACTCCACCGCTTGGAAAGTCAGGAGCAAGGATGTTGACGCAGAGTCACGAGCCATCGTTATGTTCCACTTGACACTTTCCAACGCACCTTCCGAGCTAGTGGCATACATGCACGAGGATTTTGCAGATGAGCTCGAGCGTGGCGATAAGTATCCCCAGGAGCCAGAAACTGGAGCACGACTTGGCCGTGAAGCGTTTGAGGCGTACTTCTTTGCTGCGGACGTTCTAGTCGGCATACGTGCTAATTACGAACGACTTAATCAACTAAATATAGACACAAATATTTTGAAAGAGGGATATGGTGTAGAGGTGCAGGAAGCTATCACACCTGAAGTTCTGAAGGGAAGCAGGACATGGAAGGACTGTGTTGCTGGATTCTACTATGTATGTCGACCTTGCTCCTTTCTCGGAGTAATTTATCTAATTCATATCCATAGGTAAAACCAAACTATCCTGGTCGATCCTCACATGTAAGCCGCCTGTTTAATCTGGCCTTTGAAGCTTAGTCCTATTCTCCTTACAGATCTGTAATGCGGGTTTCGTCGTTCCATTCTCTTCTCGCGGGCAGGGATTTGCGAGCGTTCTCGCTCGCTCGTACTTACACTACGCGCCGCGTCTCGGATACCAAGCGAGCGTTTTCAATCTCGTTTATGTAAATAACTCCGCAAACATTCAGTAAGTGATTTCTCCGCATGTAAGACGTTCCTATTATATTACAACTCTCAATTTATTTCACGTGATTCTTTATTACTTTAGTTTAAAGGAGAATTTGGGATTCGAGAAGGCTGGCCGTATCCCTCATGCAGGAAGGTTGAAACGCAAAGATGAACAAGGCGAAGAATATGTGGATGCTTGGGTGTTCTACAAGAGCTTCGATACCGACGTTAGAAACTAGAGTTTAGACAGCCGCCAAACGCTTCTCTTCATCTTACTATATATGCAGGTGAAAGTGAACAACTCGATAGGACCTGTCACTTTCGACATACAACTACAAATACTGGGCATTGCCAGGAGAAATCAGATACTGGAAACCACATCACTAGGAACTACAACAGCGATCGGTTGATAAGTGTGACATGGCTTCATTCCGATACCTGTATAAGAATTTCTACAAAGGCCTCCGATAAGATATAACGGTGCTTGGGGGAACGAACAAGAATCAAGATACGTATACTACGTACCTCATCATCTAGATATGGTCAATACTAATTTATATGATCCGCCCGAGGAAAGAGCATTTCTGAGGCGACTGCGTTATCAGGCTCTAGACCACGCACTCGGATAGTATGCTTGATAAAGGAGTTCCCAATATAATGGGCTTCCGCGCTTTGTTTGTGCTACAAATAAGTCATACATACTATTGTGACGTTTTCCGAGGTCGTCTGGATGGAATGGCGCAAAAGGGGTGATTATCTGCTGTAAACAGACGACGTCCTTATCATAGTATATTCGAGTGAACAATGGAATGGCCTGGACCTAAGAGGTGGAGAAACAGATATCTTCCCATTGTGGTACTAGGTAGTCATGTGAT